ATGATACAATACAACACAATTGAATTATACAATACGAAATGGTGGGTAATGTACCTTTAATGGCCGTAATTAAACTAAGAATTAAAAAAAAAGCAACAATGTATTTTCTTGATTTGTCTAAGTGTTATGTAAGTACTACATTTTTTTGGGAGAATTGATTTGAGAATAAATCCAGTATTGAAATTTAATCATGAATTGTAGCAAAGTTTTTCAAATTGTTATTACGTATTGATTATATGAGACATTAAAAAAAAACTATTGGAGAAATATTTTGAATCACTCATATATAACTCTAATATTTCTGAATTAGAACAAGTTAATAGTGTTGCCCCCTACTATAAAACACAGTAATATCCACAGCAACTCGAAATAACTGGTGATTTTTCAAAAGTTAAGTTTTTCAGGTTGGCGGTATTGATTGGTAATGGCATCCAAACGTCATCTGTCAAAGTGAAAAGTTTTCAGTATACTCTGCCATTTTATCATGGAAAGACTTACAAATGAGCAACGATTGAAAATTGTTGAAATTTGCTATCAAAATTCGTGCTCTGTGAAAAATGTCTATCGTTTGTTACTACCATAATATGGTCGTCATAATTGATCTGGTGAATCAACAGCTCGTGCTGATATCACCAAATTTTCCACAAAGTTTACTTTGATGGCCATTAAACCATTGTCTCGCATGCGTACAGTGCGTACTGAAGAGAATATTACAGCCGTGGCGTACAGTGTTAATGAGGATCGTGAAATGTCAATTCGTCGCCGCTCTCAGAAATTGGGCATGTGTTACTCAACCACATGGAAACTTTTACGTGTTGATTTGGGTTTGAAAGCCTATAAATTTCAACTTCTGCAAGAATTGAAGCCGAATGACCTACCACAACGTCTAATTTTTGGTGAATGGGCCTTAGAACACCTTGAATGGCAAAGGCCAAGTTATCAATTTCAATAAAAATTTTGAATATATGATGCAAATTGAGTATTTTGTTCATTGTTTTGTTCATTTGTTCGTTGTTTATTTCTTCAAAATGTGAATTTCAAGCTGAAAATACGATGATTTGAATAGTGAACCTAATAATTTTGCCAATTACTATATACACCCAAACATGCGACACATACGATAAACCATACGATAAACAGACGAACATACTGATTTTTCGAAAAAATTACTCAATGTACAAAATATTGGGAATTTCAACGTGCACTTAAAATATTTAATTTGAGAATTTCCCATATTTTATTTTTGTCTGAAAATATTGAATACGCAACATAACAGTCTTCGTTTCGACCGGTATTTTTGAACTATATCATTGATGACGTTCTAAAACACTGACATTTCGTTTTGAAAAGTTCCTTGAAAAATAAATTATTAATTTTTGGTATTTTACCAAGTTTGACGAAAAAAATGTCAACTTGTTGATAATAATCGGTATTTCTGAATACAAAGGATAATTTTTTCGTTTTTACATGCTCTTTTGTGAGGTATATGTTGTATTGGCCGAACTTTCTGAAACGTTTTCTTTCGAGGCACGAAACAAACCAATTGGTTGCAATTTGCGACATATTATCGCGTAGGAGGTTTCGGAAACAGTTTCTAGACTGTTTCAAATCGCCATTTTTCGTCATAAGTCTCGTTAAAGCGGAAAATTCAAGCGACCTAGATTTACTCACTGTATTGAGTGGAGGTGCTAGGCATAAACTAGGGCAAAATTTGAAACCCCTTATTATTACTGATGTTCATATTAATAGACTATTGATTTGGATACTATCGCTTTGATATTATATCGAATGTGTTCAGTCGATTAACAAGTTTTAGGGGTTCAAAAGTTACGTCATGAAAGTACCTAACATAACAAGAACACCCTTCATGAGTAGATTTCGTAGACCAAAAAATGTTAAATTTTTTATTCCATATAAATTTTCAGCTACATCTATGTGATGAGGGTGGACGTTATTACTTCAGCCTTTTCAAATTTGTTTTGACGTATTGAGACATCCGCTTCATTTATGCAAAAAGTGTTATGCAATGAGGAAGTCTCACAAAAACATAAGGCAAGCGCCTTTCAGACCTAGTGGATATATCCTATTTATTAATCTATCAAACTTTCACAACTCGTATCGCGTAGTTGACAAATTCACAGTCATCGTTCACTTTTATCCATGTGCCTTGAATTAGTTCAAGTAAACTAATGGCGTAGCTTCTTTAAATGCAATGTTCACGTGTTTGATGTTTTGTTCTATTGTTTTCTTAGGTACCGTGGTTTTCGTATGTTAATTTTCTAATTCCTAACTCTAAGGTCCTGGTTAATATGAATTTTCCTGAATGATTTACAAGAAACAAAGAAACTATCTGGTTGCATTCTACAACAAAAGTTCTAGTGAAACGCGTACAGAGATTTAAAAAATGGAGTTTGAGTTGAAATTTGTTCTAGTGTTAGATTAGCTGTTCAAAAACTAATATTAACTGAAGAAAATGTGACTCTGGGGATACTACAAGGAATACTGCTGAATGAGAATATTGAAATCGGTGCCTACATTTGTTGAAGCAAAAAACATTATATTGTTTCCTTCTACAAGGAACTCATCAGTTGCGCCATTGTCCAACAAACGAAAGGCATCCACAACAAACATCCTCTTATGACTCACTAGATTGAAATAAATAGCGATGCAGTATGTATATTTCATGCATAAATTACTGTATATTTCCCTTCTATAGGAATCGATACAAAACATGAACACATCGAGTCATAAGAAGGTCATTATCGATTTGGCCGATACTTGATGAAAATCTAAATACATAATTTGAATAAAACTAAGTAGTTTTTCGATTTTCACTATATTTAATTCAAAAATATGACAATATCGTTTCGCCAACACAGTGCACTCATCAAAAGTTGATGATAAACTGTTTATTATCAACTTCTGATGAAACCACTGTATTTGCGAAACGATATTGTAATATTTTTGAATTAATTATAGTGAAAATAGAAAAACTACTTAGTTTTATTTAAATTACAATAAAAAGTTGTTTGAAAATTGAAGTCGATGTCATTCGTTCGTTGGACTATGGCGCAACTGATGAGTTCCTTGTGGAACGTAAAAGTATTCTGTCTTGTGTTTGCAACAAATGTGTACACCGATTTCAATATTCTCTTACAGTTATCCCTTGAAGGGTAATGGAGGCATCACATTACATGTTTCATTTTGCTATTTATATTCTTTTGATGAATTTTTATAGAAATTATCGAAATAATGTTATAGTGTAATTTACTATATTGAATATTTGCGAGTGTGCTGATATTGAGCACGATAACTAAGTTTTGGCATTTTCATGTATTTATATAATAGATTTCTTCTTGAATATTATATTATTAAACTCCATATAATGTCTCTCGATTTAACAACAAACTCCTTAAAGCTCCGTTGAAATGACTCGTCTCTGGTTGGTTTAGCTTGTTTTTAATATAGGGTGTTTTTTTAGAAGTATAGAACTTTAAATTGCAATAAAACAACGATGGATCATTCGATTGACAAGAATTTTTTTTTATTCGATAGATAATCTTGTGGCATTACTTTTTAAATATGATTTCTGGCATATGACCGCCACGACTGGCTCGAATGTAGTTCAATCTGGACGTCCAATTTTCGATGACTTTTTCCAACATTTGTGGCCGTATAGCGGCAATAACACGGCGAATATTGTCTTCCAAATGGTCAAGCGTTTGTGGATTATCCGCATAGACCAATGACTTTACATAACTCCACAGAAAGTAGTCTAGCGGTGTTAAATCACAAGATCTTGGAGGCCAATTCACAGGCCCAAAACGTGTCTTCAATAAATCGATTGCGGCACGAGCTGTGTGACATGTTGCGCCGTCTTGTTGAAACCACAGCTCCTGGACATCATGGTTGTTCAATTCAGGAATGAAAAAGTTAGTAATAATGGCTCTATACCGATCACCATTTACTGTAACATTCTGATCATCATCGTTTTTGAAGAAGTACGTACCAATGAATCCACCAGTCCATAAAGCGCACCAAACAGTCAGTTTTTCTGGATGTAACGGTGTTTTGACATACACTTGAGGATTATGTTCACTCCAAATGCGGCAGTTTTGTTTGTTGACGTACCCATTCAACCAGAAGTGCGCTTCATCGCTAAACAAAATTCGCTTATGAAAATCGGGAGCGTATTCCGCACAGAACCATTATTTTCGAAATAAAATTGCACTATTTGTAAACGTTTTTCAGGCGTGAGTCTATTCATGATGAATTGCCAAATCAAACTGAGAATAAATCACTTCTCAGCTGTCAAATCGGTCGCCATCTTCAACAGTAATGCCAACTTAAATTTCTATACCTCTGAAAAACACCCTTTAGAATGATACACTCCATATAGCATTACACCCACTCTCAATAACGACAACATTAACTAATAAAAAGTACCTCTCAAGTTGCCAAAATTAGTGAAATCCGTGCAGCTGTGTACGTTCTTTTGTCGCTTTATAATCCTATCCCTATCCCGTAATAAACTCGGTTTTCGGCATCATGCAAACCGAACTTTCTAAGAAATTCGTTCTTTTGTTCACAAATTGGGATTGACCAGTGGATCAATCACTGGTGTTGACTATCACTAATAACTAGGAGTCATGGACTTAATACGTTATCACATTCTTAGTTGGTCATAAACTTTCAAACAATCATACTCTTATTCTCAATATTATGTTTCGACTTAGAAGTATTCAAAAAATTTATAAGAAATGGTTGTTCACAACAGGGTTTTAGAGTCATATACCAATTTTCAAAACAAAATTAACCTTTTTAATGCTTTTCGATATTTGGGTATCTTACGAAATCGGCAACCTTGAACTTTTTTTTTATTCAGTGGACCTACAGTTTAATGCCGTTTCCGAACAGCCAATGGGCTTGTAATCAATGTACATTACCCAGCACAAATCACTCATTAAACAACTCAAATCATAGACAAACACAAACACCCATGCCTTCAGCGGGGCTCGAACCCGACTTCTGCCGCACCGTAGTCGGGTGTTCTACCAACTAAGCTACGGAGACCGGCTTCAACCTTGAACTTAGACGCGTACCTGGACACAATACAATTTTTAAGAATTCTTAAAATTCGCAGAAGATGATTGACTAACAGAAAATGGAATCGTGGTTATATTAATTTGGTGATACCGAAGTCGGTGGAAAAAGCATTCATCATTAAAAATTGTCATATCAATGGAAAGGGAGATGTTTATCGAATAGATTTTGATAAACATCTTTTCTATATTTTGCTTCGAAATAGTTGAGAAGGTGAGGTACACATTTCTATGGGTTTTATGGTTTTCTATAGATTTCCTCCTGTCAGTCGTAAATAAAATTTGCTTATAATTTTATCGCATTTCTAAAGGAAATGCCAGTAAGAAATAGCATATACCTCAACACCGAAAAGGATTAGCATAGATCTTAGGTGGATGTCTATAACACTATAAAATTACGATTGTAATATCCTAACGTGCTAAGTACATACCTAAGAACTTAGTTGAGTATAGCTTTTGAAAATGAGCTAACATTTTGAAAAAAATTGTTCAGCAATTAATTTAATAGAATTTTTGTGAAACTCAGCCAAGTGTGTTTCATTGAATATATCAAAGTATTTTTCTGAAGAAAAGTGAAATATGAAATGCTTTTTTTGTTCATATTGGGAAGTTAATTTTGTCCCATAAAAATACCCAGTAAGTCAAATATTGTTTCTAAAGTAGAAACTTTTATTATGTTCGAAAATAGGTAGGTATGATTGTATCGTAATTCAACTACCTCCGTAGACTTATATTCTTTTCTACGTGACATTCAGCATCACCCATAGGTTTGTTATGTGTTGAATTTATGAATGAAACCTTCGCACCATCCGTTAACCATTCCGAAGTTGTTTTCATTGGTACCAAATTAAAACACGTGTAGGTGAAATAGCAGTAGGAGCTAGGTCGATGTCTACGCAAGTAAATATATATCTTCCTTATTGATTATAATCTGGTGTAGGTGTACAACGAACATAACGAATATCATTATCTGCAAAAGTTGTGTATCATACATTATACTTTTTTTCAATTAATGTATATATATATATATATATATATATATATATATATATATATATATATATATATATATATATATATATAATATATGTGTGTGTGTAAAGAAAATGTATTTCTTTAATGTATTTCTATGGGCCTCTATGGTCAATAAATAGTTACTGGCTATCTAAGTGGATGGCGCTGTCTGTAATGGCGACATACACTGTTAAAGCATATGACATCCGTCAAGAAATCATTATAAAAAGGAATTGAGAGTAATAGACTTTAATTGTCGTTTCTTTGTTTTCAGAGCAACGTGATTGGTTATTTAAACTTTCAATTTCTGAATAAAAATAGAAATAATCTTTATATATATATATATATATATATATATATATATATATATATATATTCGTGTATATATATAAATTGAATATTGTGTAGGCTGATTTTTTCATATTCGTGGTTACCTGACTGAAAGATAAATTGAACCTATGGTCTCAACCTCTAAGCACCTAATAAGCGCATTTTGTTGTTGTTGTCGATTTATTACAGAGCGTTTACTCTAACTGAAAGTAAAAAGACATTGCCAAAAGTGTACAGTGTTTATTTATAACAATAAAAACGTAGCACGTATATAAGGAGCTGAAGAAAAATGAATTTTTTAACAAATTGAACAAAAATGAAAATAAATCATTGACTCGTTTTTTTCAACTTCCAAACCAGTGTATGTATCACATATTCGAGCCTTCTACACATACGAACGGTTTCAATACTTAGTCTTTTCTAAAGGCTTGTTTTTTAAAGAGGTATAGAACTTTAAATTGCAATAAAACAACGATGGATCATTCGATTGACAAAAATTTTTTTTTATTCGAAAGATAATCTTGTGGCACATTTCACATTTTAAATATGATTTCTGGCATATGACCGCCACGGCTGGCTCGGATGTAGTCCAATCTGGACGTCTAATTTTCGATGAATTTTTTCAACATTTGTGGCTATATATCGGCAATAACACCTCGAATATTGTCTTACAAATGGTCAAGCGTTTGTGGCTTATCCGCATAGACCAATGACTTTACATAACCCCACAAAAATTAGTCTAGCGGTGTTGAATCACAAGATCTTGGAGGCCAATTCACAAGTCCAAAACGTGAAATTTTTTGAAACGTGAAGGCGGTCACCAAACGTGTCTTTCAATAAATCGATTGTGGCAAAAGCTGTGTGACATGTTTCGCCGCCTTCTTGAAACCACAGCTCTTGGACATCGTGGTTGTTCAATTCAGGAATGAAAAAGTTAGTAAGCATGGCTCTATATCGATCACCATTGACTGTAACGTTCTGGCCATCATCGTTTTTGAAGAAGTAGGGACCAATGATTCCACCAACCCATGAAGCGCACGAGACAGTCAGTTTTTCTGGATGTAACGGTGTTTTGACATGCACTTGAGGATTATCTTCACTCCAAATGCGACAGTTTTGTTTGTTGACGTAGACATTCAACCAGAAGTACGCTTCATCGTTAAACAAAATTCTATTATGAAAATCGTGAACAACGATAATCTCGTTTTGGGCCCATTCGACGAATCTACGCCTTGCTTGATAATCGCTTAGTTTCAATTATTGCACGAGTTTGATTTTGTAAGCACGCAAACCAACATCCTTCCGCAAAATCTCTCATAAAGTGGATGGACACAGATCCAATTGCTGTGTTCGAGGGCGGATGGACTCATTCGGGTATTCCTCAATGCTACGCTCTACAGTAGCAATAGCTTCTTCTGCACCGTACGGCGTCTCTGAGGATTCGAGTTATCAATAAGCGTAAACGTGGTTCGAAAACGTTCCATGGTTAATCGAATCAACTGCTCTGATGGACGATTTTGTCGACGATAAAATGGACGTATTCCGCACAGAACCATTATTTTCGAAATAAAATGGCACAATTTGCAAGCGTTAATTCAGGCGTGGGTCTATTCATGATGAATTGCCAAACCAAACTGAGAATACATCACTTCTCAGCTGTTAAATCGGTCGCCATCTTCAACAGTAATGCCAACTTAAAGTTCTATACCTCTAAAAAAACACCAGTTATATAGTCTATTCAGAAATGGTATTTTAGAAGTTTAGGAGAAATGTAGCAAGTGAACGCCAAAGTACCAAAAAAATAGTATAATATCTTGGTTATTGATGTTTCAGTGATTAAACTTCATGAATTAAGTTCAGCATTTCAATTCCAATGATCATTTGTGAATATATTGCCATAATTTTGTTTCTGGATTTTTTTGTAGGAAATCAGGGTAGACCAAAGTAAAAAAATATAATAACATTATTATTCATAGTTATTTGGTTAATTTATCGATCAGTATGCCCTTTCTCCGATATTCACAAGAAAAGCATTTAATTCATACTAGCATAAAAAATCTCATGCAGTTCACATCACGTGATGAAAACATTTAAGTAAATAGCCTACAATGTTTGTTTCTGTTGTTAATCAATTAAGCGATTACGTTTAACATAGATTTTAAAGGATTTTGCATTTTTTCAATTCAAATACATTCAAATGAATACAGTCCTAGAGCTCATTCGAAAATAATGCAACACATTTTTTTTGTAGTACGATTTTCATGGATAAATCTGTCTTAATTTATGTATAAATCTACACATTATAACTGCATGCTTTTCTCATTCGTAATGGACGAATCCAGTTACAATACAATTGATTTGATATTTTATATAGTACTTTTATTGAATAATTATGTGCAAGCTGGTTTGTGTGGCTTAGTAGGGAGAACACCCGACGAGGTGTAGATCCACTCGCGTAGGATTCGGGTTCGAGCCCCGGTGAAGGCATGGGTGTAGCTGTTTGCCTATTATTTGATTAATTTAATGACGATAATTGTTGGGTAATGTACATTGAGATACCATCCCATTGGCGGTTCGGAAACGGCGTTAAACTGTAGGCCCACTGAATTAAAAAAAATTTATATATATATATATATATATATATATATATATATATATATATATATATATATATATATATATATATATTTCTGTGATTCAAATAAAATGATTTATTCCGTTGCGTTGTGTGATTGTTCACATGAGGATTTTATACTTAATAAAACAATTGTTAAACTGATTTACACATATATTAAAAATAATAGTGCATGAAGTACGTTTCGATGAGATTCACCTTTTTCAAATGCGTGTAGACTAATGACAATTTCTCGAATACATACAATATATAAACTTGAATACAGAGAAAACAGGTAGATAACAGGTAGGAGGGATGAATTCATACTGAACTACTATATAGTAAACTAAGTAATTTTGAAAATATTGAGAAGGGGGCTTGAGGTATGATCGATTTGGCTGTTCAAAAGGTTGCCAGAATATTTGTATTTATTAATTTGAAGTGATTCTAACAAATTAAGCTTCATTCCCTTGTTTGCGGTATTCAAAATTTCAAAATCGGAATTGAATATATGATTTTCAGTAATCAAATGATTTGCATAATGAGAATCTGTCTTCTGATTATCAAAGCTACGTTTATGTTCCGAAATTCTTATTTGAAAACTTCTAAACGTTCTACCAATATAAAAGTTATCACAACTACCACAGATAATTTTATATATAATTTTATATTGGTAGAACATTCAGAAGTTTTCAAATAAGAATTTCGGAACATAAACGTAGCTGTGATAATCAGAGGACAGATTCTCATTATGCAAATCATTTGATTAATGAAAATCATATATTCAATTCCGATTTTGAAATTTTGAATACCGCAAACAAGGGAATGAAGCTTAATTTGTTGGAATCACTTTAAATTAATAAATACAAATGTTTTGGCAACCTTTTGAACATCCAAATCGATCATACCTCAAGCCCCCTTCTCAATATTTTCAAAATTACTTAGTTTACTATATAGTAGTTCAGTATGAATTCATCCCTTCTACCTGTTATCTACCTGTTTTCTCTGTATTT